CACACATCATTGTAAAATCAATACATTCTTCACTTCGTTCAGAATCTAAAAATCAATATTTTCATTTTATATTGCAATATATTACACTATTTTTTAAGAAACTTGATGGTATAATGTTAACTTTTAAGATGTGTAACATAGAACTATATAGTCATTTGAATGAAATGTTAAATCATTATTAATATATTAAAATGAAATYGTTAATGAAATGATAAACCTTTTGTGGACAACTTGGACAAGTATTCAAAACAAAACAAATTATTTACTGTAGGTACCCATAAAAGAAATTCCAAATTACCTAATCAAATAAGATTCATTATGTAATCTAACTCAATCACTCATAGCATATACAATTTATTATAAGGTATTAGTATAAGTAATTAACGACATTAACTATTAAAATTAGAAAATTCAAAAAGTACGATAGAATGAAGATAATAATGACGAACATATTTTTTATAAAAAGAAATATTATGTCTGTTTTCTTTTAATCTGTCTTAATAAAATAATGATAATATATTATATGAAATACCTACATGCATAATAGCATATGTATACCAATATACCTATACTAAGTCCCGATGATATATACGGTTATAAAATGTTTGAATACTATTAATATGACTCTTGCGATTTACAATAATATATATATTATATATATATATATATATGTAATATATGTTATATAATATATAAGTCGTCAAGACCATTATAAGAACAAAATTAAAATGTATCTACGGTAAGTTAAAAGCTTCAACTGCCATTTCATGGTCAAATAAACACACTGCTATTCTATATTGATTACGGGTGTAGTAGTTTTTATATAACTATAGTAACAGAACTAACAGCAGTGGACAGCGATWATATTCTGTCAATAAAGAATTAGACGTTTTAATAATTGATATAACGTATATATATATATACATACAATATATATAGCGTAGAACAAAAGTTCACTAAATACGCCACAATCATCAAGTAAAAACTATTAATTCGTTAGACAATAAACTCAGAGATTTATTTTTTTCATAAAACTTTAAATGAATATCCGCCTAATAAAAATACGAGGTGCGCTAATCGTTGACGGAAATCGTTGAGTTAAAAAAAAATACCTGGACGAAGATATGATTCTGGTGCAAACTCGATGTGAAATGTGAAAAACATTAAATACATTGGTATGTGTGTGTAGATATGTACTATTGCCGTGTTGACGTGATTATAAACACTTTCTTTGGCGGTCATTAAGTATTTTATTATTATTTATTATATAAGTGAATCATTTCCAGAAACTGAAAATGGTAGTATAATACGGTCGCCCATTTAGTGACGATAAATAAGATGCACGGAGAGAATAATTATAACAATATTACATATTATAATATGTAATATTAWTATATAAATTTAGCTTGGGGTTCACCGTCGTCAGGGTGAGTCTCGCAATAATTTATACAGACAGATAAGCGCACCGCGGTGATTGAGGCTGTGAAAGAGAGAGAGAGCGAGAGAGATACGTCTCCAGGAATGAGTGAAGAAAACGTGAGAGAGAGAAACTGTGTCAGAATAAAGAGATAGAGTTAGAGTGAAACAGAGACAGAAAATCGTATAAATAATATATAATATATATGGAATATACATGTGATATACATACATACACACGCACACACATATATATATATATAACCCGTCGAAAAGTAATTTAAGGTGGAACCGTTTAGCTTTCAACAAGCGGCGGCGAAGGCGGCAGCGGACCCTATAAAAGGGTGGGGACGACGGCACGAGACGGCGCGGTGGAGAGGAGCGCACGCCCCGCGCACCCGTTCAGTAGCTGTTAAACTCGCATTACAGTCACGTTTATAGTCATCAGCCGACCGTTCGTACGGACGTTATATACGCGCGCTCGTCCTCGTCGTCGTCGTCGTCGTCTTAATAATAGTAATAACAGTATAAATAATATCATTTTCTCTCACTCTGCACTAGTGTACTTGCGTTCGCGTGTCTTATTTTCGTATACGGTATTTTCTATCATCGTCGTCGTTATAATTATTTTTTACCATCTTAAATCACGAACCGTGTGTCCGGTCGTCTCTCTTGCTTCGCGACGGGTTGTTTTTAAATTTTTTTTTTCGGCCTAGTGTTACGCGCGCTTTGACTCGTCTTCGTTTACCAACAAAGAGTTTCGATAATACCATATTATAATTTAATATTACCGTACAGTGTGCGCTAAGGGTGGTTTCGCGTTGTCTGCGGGTGCGCGCGAGTGTGTGTCGCGCGCGTGAGATGCGTCGTCGTCATCCGTCGTCGTTTGTCGTCGTTATTCGCACCGGTGTGACGCGATCCGTGTGAGATGTTGATGATGATGGACTGCAGCAACAGGAAGCCGCCAGTGGACCTGTCGGCCGGCGTGGTCGTAGCGGCTGTGTCGTCGCCGGAGCTGCCCGTTGTTGGCACGTGGCACCCCCACGTGTACGGCAACCCCCCCAAGACGCCAACCGCCCACAATGTAGCCGATATACTCGGATGGACCAAAGGAGGCCCCGATGAACAGCCACTGAACCTGTCGACGGCCAAGCGGCCAAACGGCACTGTGTTGGACCTGACCAAGATGAAACGCAAAGGTAAGACGACCACATAATTGTCATGTTGTTAAACAGCATTCACGAMATACTCATCGTGTTCTGTATATTTGATGGCTTGATACATACCCTGGACCCTGGTAACAAAATGTTGGTCGCTTGTTAGAGCCAGGTTAGCCTCACCACGACGTCTGCCCGTTGTCGCGTAGSGTTGATTAATTATGTATCCAAACTCGTATATAGGTAACGTAGTAACATATTAGTTACATATTCGCACCTAACCGTGTTATATAATTATTTATATACCGTGGTAATCAACATCAGCAGGGATTTGCAAGCGTATGGTTATTTATGTACAGTAATATAGTCGTGGAATTTTTCCACTCATTCTTTCGTTGCTCGTCGTGACTGTGCTGTTTTTATATTCTCGACACAAAACGCTGCGTACCTATACGTTAGCTGCTTTTGTTTTTTCCTTCATCGTTTCTTATAATATTTTTACCTTCGCCTTGACTGCAGCTGTACGTTTCGTTTTTCTATCTCGCGCCGTTATTGTCCGCGCGTAACAAATCACGGCGGCGGCGCCATCACGTCCTTCGCGGTCGCGGAATAATATTTATAGATCATCACCGATTTGATATAATGTCACAAGCGAAAAACGTTTCCGGTTACGACCTTACCATAACAGCGCCCAAGAAAACAATCTCCAGATTCAAGTTTTTCTCCTTCCGACCGATTCAATTCAAATCCGTAAGTTTAATTATTTATTATATACCGTGGCGTAGGCTAAATTTGGTTTATTTTTCCAATCCGTCCGTAACTAGATATGTATAAGAATAATAATTATATAAATTATATATATGTAGGTCGTAAGTAGTAGTAKTTTCGCGCTACAGTATAATATTATTGTCGCATTTTTTACAATTAACTATTTTTTCCGTCTCTCCGGGCTGGTGGTTGTATTACATACAAACCTATTTCGTCAAACGACGTTAATAATTATCTTCATGTAATGTACTATAATCAATAACCTAATATAGTTGCAGTTTTTTTCTTCTGTATCGAAYCGTTTAAATAGTAGCATACCGCATGTGCTATTGCACAATAAAAATACTATTTGAAAACTATACGGTACGCATGCATAGTCATATTAATACATAAGTGTGTGTAAGTGTGAGTTTTCGATGTAAAGGTGTAATTTCATTGACGTCTTAACAATATGTCGTTTACGCTGCACTGCGGGAGTGCAGCGGTATCGTTTCAGGTGCTGTGCAGGCGCCAACWAGAATTAAACAACAAATAAAACGCATACGGGACTATAAGCGCATTACCATAATAAAAATAGTAATATAATATAATCCTATTACGAGTTAACTGTATGTACGTAATGTTGTTTAGGTGCAATTATAGCTATCTTAGTATCTTCCGTTARACGCGTTTAATTTTTATCGTTAAAAATCCAACATAAACAAAATTGAAACATTTCAAAATATCGCGTCAAGCGCAATTAATAAATTCTCTACCTTTCTCATCCTATGTCTCTGTAACCACACAATTTGGATCTCAGAGTTAAAATTTTCAGAAAGAATCAAAACTATTATTCTATTAACGTTTTCACAGCTACTCAACAGAACCCGTAATAGATATATTATTAATATGACTTGAAAACCAATAATCCTGAAAATCCAAATTAGGTATTGAAATAGGTTATGCAGTCTCAATGGGCGCGGGCTACTTCCGTCAAACGTGATTCGTTAAACAAACGTCAAACACGTTTGATTGAATTTGCTTATTGTTTCATCTGACGAATTGTAAAAATAAAGATAAAAAGTATCTATTATAAAGTAAATATATTATTATACATTTTGGGAAAAATTTTGTAGATGTTGTATTGAAAATATTGTCGTCAATTATTAATAAATAGGAAAGGTCGTCTCGGATTTGGTGCGCAGTAATTAATAATATATAATATATAATAATTTCAAACCATGTGATGTATGCGGGAAACACACGCGTGGTATTGTACTATTGTGTAGAAAATAATAATAAACATTAACAATCGACCGTTTTYGAAGCGACGTGACAGGTTTTTCTGCGAGCACGCGGTACAGTACGCCCGAGGTGGGGTAAACGTTACGTTATATTATTATCCCGTAATTTTAGCGCGTGATGACTGTGTAGGCCCGTCAGTGGCGGCTGCCAGTCGAGTATAATCGATCGGTTAATATTCCCCACCCGTCCTATCTCACCAACAATAATTGAACGCCAAGCCGTATATAATTGATAATCGACCGGCTTGTTAGCGTCTACCGAGTGATGCGCATTACATACATACACACTCGCACATATATATATATATATATATTATAGGTACCACCCATCGACACACGACTGTGCTATATAATGGTACCTAACTATATAAAACTTACCGACAATATCTATATATATATATAATATCTATACACACAATCTATACTATTCTACCCCATAATCGTCGCAATCTTATAATACGAATGATATTTTTTTTTCTTTAATGTAGGTATAGGGTACCTCATCTCATTCCCTCGACCGGTTCGCGGGCATCATACAATTCCGAAATCGTTATTCGACATGTTATTTTGTTTTTTTTTCTATATTGTCGCCATAATATACGCCAAAGATGAAAAATCTAATTTTAAATAGAAAAAAAAAACATGTTTGCTTTATGTGTGTGGAGAAGAGAAATTTCGAAGAAACCCTGAAACATCGAACGATTTTACACCGGTTTTTGGCCGTCGAAGTTTATATTATATACAATAAAACTATGTGTTATACGCTTAAATATACCGCTACACCGGTTATTCATATATTGTAAGATTGTCTTGTAATTTTAAGTTGTTAAAGACTTTTAAAGTAACATATTTCTAACGAAAAATATAATTTTTTTAAATAATTTAATTCATTTTTAATTTCTCATTACAAAGTAAAATATTTTTAAAGTATATACTTCAATGTATAAATACCTAGTTTTGGATAAGCAGTTTATTAGTTATAACTTATATGTTTTAAGTATTTAAAGGTTAAGATAAATAGAGTGGTGGAGTGTTACTCCGCAAAATGTCGGTCGATTTTTATACTCTGCTCATCAAAACTTTAAACATGGGTAATTAGGAAACAATTAATCTTATCCGAAATTCGATTTTTGTATATCAGAATATTCCAAATCATATTTTGCTTCGAAATATGAAATTAAATGTATGTTATCATTAAAAATAGTGAAAAACTTAAAAATTTTTTTTTTCATTTATTTGATAATTCAATGTTTCAGCATATTAATCATGCTTTTACAAGTTTAGATTACGGTTAATACAAATATAGTATGGAATGGGGATTAAACTTAAAAATAATAGCGATGAAATACCAAAAATATGTTTTTTTAGAACATTTTTTTCGTATAACGATTTATATTAGATTACTTCTAAAACGTATGTGTTTTCTGAAATAACGAGTGCCAAAAAATGGATCACCACATTGTTAGAATATGCCGTCACATAATAGAAATCAATGTACTACCCTGCATGTTGGAGAATTTCAATTAAATGGCATACATTTCTGATATAGATTATCTTAGAAAAAAACCACTTTTAAATTACATTGATTAACCGAAGAGTTAATTGGGATGTGTGAGACTTACTCAAACGCGGTATATATAAGATATTTCGTGGTATTATTTACTATTTACGTATACTATTACGCTGCATTACGTTATTGAGATAATATATTCTAGGAAATCGGAATAACCTTTCCGGATGACTCTCATTATAATAGTTAATATAGGTTAATACCTAACCTATCTTGTATTAAAATATATAATAGAGTTAAAAGTTAAAATAAGTATATAATATAAACATCAAGATCAAACAATCCTGTAATGCCATTAATATTATTAAATTATTATGTTGACGGCTACGGTATTTCGCACTCGGTGGTTTCTTTTTCTATACTTTTTACGGTTTCGATTCAATGAATATTATACTATTACCACGTCGTTGTTGTGTGTTTAATAAGCGTTTTGGAAAGCAAACACGACGGCGACTAATTATTATCATAGTTCTGCAGTCATTTCGCGTGATTCATTAAATAAAAAAGTTGGTCGTCGCCGTCCGCATAAAATATAAAATTATTTACGGAYGCTATAGAAATGCCCATTCTGCTTTATGTATTGCCAAAYCCACACATAATAATCATAATTATTATTTTTTTGATAACCAGTAGTTTATATAGTGTTCAATCTCAACTAGTTAGATACAAAATAATGAGTTTATTATTTAATATCGAAGTTTACTAGTATTTGTTACTTTTTTTCGTTAAATTTAAAAACATATTACATAGGTTACGTACAGCGCATTTATATACGCCATTATATATTCGTATATCGAACCTAGTATTAATTTATATTATGTACCTATACACATACATATTTCAATGATTCACATATTATAATGATATAATGATTGTAATTTTAATTTTTAAATATTTTGATATGCATGGAATGCAATTGGCGTGTACACCAAATATTAAAATATAGACGGCTTTCGACGAATCAGACCATGTGATATTATTAGTTTTTTCTCTGGAAATAAATACTTGTGGTATTATATATTCTGTGGATCCCGCTATGACATATTATGAACTACATGATATTTATTATAATATATCATTATTATCATCCCACGCGTTGTCTTTCAGCGTTGTACTAAATTTCAAGTGTTGTGTACACGTCACGCTCGCTGTCGGTCAGAGCAATCGTATATTTCGCTAACCGTTTGCAGTTATATACATATCATATATTATACACAAYATACACATTACACATATTGTATGGGACGTTTCATTTTATTTTTTCACACCGACAGCAATTGAAATCGATTACTCCAGTGCTAGAAGGGAGGATATAATATAGAAGGGACGTGGTCTCGGAGAATCAATATAATATTATAGAGTCGTTTTAATACGGCAAAACAAAGAGTACACCCACGCGTCCTTTATAATATGTATAATGT